GGAAGCTGCGTAGGATCAATTTGAAACAAGTGGCCCCACAGCTGCCTGGCTGCTGAACAAGATGGGACCAGGAAAACCAAACAAGCATCTCTCAAATGATACCTCAAAAGCTTCCCATAAAGAATGCTGCACTGGTAACTTAGATGCAATGCACAAACCACAGCTCTTCTCTGCTGCAACCCAATCACAGAAAGTGCGTCACCTTCAGAGGCTGCCCCTTGGGCAATGCATTAATCTCCCTGGAAGGTGACAAGAGCCTAGACTTCCTTCCCCAAAGGAGGCTTTGGCTGGCAGCCAGCTGAAGCTGAGCAAAGGTGCCTGACGCTCCTGCTTCCGCCAGTAACAATGAGTCCAGAAAACCTGCTCCTTTGGGGAAAGTGCTACCCCTCCTGGAGGATGGTACTCATTTCTCTCCAGATCAGGGATTCATCATTCAATGCCACCCTCCTCTTGCTTCAGCTTACACAACTGTAGCTGCTCCCCTGCTTTAATAGGTACTACAACCCACTCGAAAGCTGCACCTGCCTTCTCTACTGTTAATGGTTCAGGGGATATTGTATTATTTATTGTGCTTATTATTTTGCTTAAATTCACCTTTATTATTTTTACAAATAACTCAAGGCGCTAAAAATATCTACTGCACCTTCCTCCTTTTATTTACCCCACAACAACCCTTTGTGGAGTGAGGTGGGCTGAGAGGCTGTCCCTAAGTCTGGACTTGAACTCATGCTCTCCTGCTTTCCAGCCTGTGACCTTCACCGCTAAGCCAAACCAGCTCTCCACAAAGGAGATGGGGACCCACTTGCACCCAACACAGCAAGTGACTCAGCCAGCACCTTCTTGCGCTCCTTTTGCTCCCGATGCTTCCGAACCAACAGGCTGCCTTTGCGGGCAATGATAGCCAGGTCGGAGGTGGCATCTTTGACAGGGATGACAGGCTCAGGCTGGAAAGAGTAAAAAAAGGGATAATTTCAAGGCAGCAAAGGTCCACCAGTACTTCCCCCCCCTCCCCAGCACCACCTCACCTGACCTGCTTGGTGAAAACAATGCGCCCATCAAGAAAAGGAGGTACGAGGTTGTGCACTAGGAGATGCACCCTGGCAGCATTATCCTCCTCAAAGTCCTCCTCCACCTCCAGCCGATGTACCACACCACTTGTCAGCATGCGGTTGGTCTCCCAGCGCTCGTTATCCTGCCGAACAGAAGGTTAAATCAGGCAGTAGCCCCCGCTTCCAGGCCAAGCAGGCCTTGGGGGGCTCCCACCAATAGCAGAGAAGAGGGGCCCACTGCTTCTGGGTCACACCCGAGCACCAGGATGCCCCTGCCCTGCCTTGTCCAACCTCATTGATCTGCCTGCGCTGAGCTGAGATGCGTGTCTGCTTTTGCCTCTGCAGGTGCTGCTCGCGCTTCCTCACGTACTCCTCTGAGGAGGCAGCCAGAGGGTTGTGGAACTCATCATAGCCCTCGTCCATCATATACCAGTCCCGGTCAGCTTGCTGAGTAGAGGCAAAAATGGTTTTAAAGTCTCCCCAGATAAAAATTCTGCTGCGCTGTTCATAGCAGGAACACAATAGCCCCACCCCCGCTGCTAAAGCAGCCCTTTCCTCAACACTACAAACAATTGGAAATTTCCTTACATTTACACACACACACACACACACACACACACACACACACTGCTGCCATTTCACTGTAAGAGGCAAAAAGGGATCTCCAAGCCCCAAGGAGAGGTTTCTTCCTAAGGGTTGGCCAGCTGGAACCAATCTCACCTCACACCCAGAGATGAAACTCCTACAGCCTGCACTTAAGAAAGTGAAAAGCAGCGCCAGCCACCTGAGTCTGTTTACAGGCGGTTTGCTTCGGTCTCCTCCTGAAGATTTTTTGCTCCGTTTCTTCCCTTTCAGCTATTCTGGCTCAAATAGGCAACCACCCCAGGAATTAAAGCTGCCAACTCACCCGCTGATCGTCCTCCCATTGCTGCCGTTCTTCCTCCGTCTCAAACGCAATGCCGTCTTCCCCGTCCTCACATCTCCCTGGAAACAGATCTCGTGAGAGGCCAACTCTACCTTGGTTTAAAGCAAGCCCGGGTCTCTCCCCACTCCACAATCTTTAGCTTACCCCTGCCTCTGGAGAGCCAAGGCGGCCCACCCAAGTGCCTTCGGTTGTCAGCCCACTCGTTGTATTTATACGTAGGCGTGGGCAAAGGCGTCTCCTCAGGACACCTGCTCCTGTTGGACCTGCAAAGGGCAAAGCTCTCTCTCTCAACTCCCGCTGCCCCAACCAGGCCAGGCCTGGCTCAGGCCACCAGCGCAGCGCCATCCACCCACGAGTCTTTGGCCCCGCCGTACCGTTCGCGGTCCCCCCGCCTCTCACTCTCCCGAGGTTGAGCAGGGCTCCGGTGGCTCCGCTCGGAGTCCCGGCAGGAGGGAGCCGGGGAGGGAGACTCCCACTGGGAGCGCCGGGACCCGCTGTAACCACTGTCTTCCTCCTCCCAGCTGGAGTGCGACGGTGTGGCTGCATCTGAGCACCGGGAAGGAGGAAGGAGTGAGTTAGCAAGCCCCTGAGGCGAGGGGCAAAGCCGCCGCGCGCCCCGTCCCCCCGCCAGGCGGGTTCCCAGCGCCAAGCACCTTTGGGCGGCTGCCGCGGGCTCTCCGGCTCGGTCCTCGGGGCGCTCCTGCTCCTCTCCGAAGAACCATCCTTCTCGGCGCGGTCGCTGCGTCGGCCGGGGTCGCGGGTGTCTGCGGAGAAAGGCCGGTGAGCGGCGTGGGCGGAGGGTCCCGCGGGGCCGGCGCCGGTCTCGGGCTCACCTCGGTCGCGCTTGCGCTCCTGATCCCTCCGGCGCTCCTTCTCCTTGGACGAGGCGAAGACGCCCTGCTCCCGCCGCTCGCGCTCCCGCTGCCGGCTGCGCTCCCAAAAGCCCTCGCTGACGCCCCCCGGGTGAGACGGCGTCTCCTCCTGGGCCGAACGGTACTGCCTGCCGGGGAGTGACGGGGGGCTCAGGCGGCCTGTCGGGCGGACCCGGAGCCCCGCCGGACCGTTGCCCGCCCCGCTCACCTGTCCCTGCGCCGCCGGCCGCCCCGCCCCGCCCCGTCGCCCGGCTCCTCTAGCGGCTGCCGAGGCAGCTCGTCCGCGCCCTCCTCGGCGGCCCCGCCGCGGGGCCTCTTGGCGGGCCGGTCCTCCCGCTCGCGGCGCTTCTGGGCGGCCAGCAGGTCGAGGCCCAGCAGAGAGGCGCGCGGCGCCGGGATCTTGAAGACGTGCTGCTCCTCGGCGGCGCTGCGGCGCTTGACCAGTACCAGCCCCCCCACCTGCCCCTCGGGCGCCAGCCCGGCCAGCCGGTGCAGCGAGGCCTCCGTCGCTTCCTCCGCGCGCTCCTCCATGGGCCCCTGCGCGACGCTTTCTCTTCCGGACGCAGCGGGGCCGCGGGCGGCCCCATAATGCCCCGCGGCGGCCTCCCTCTGTCCCTCCTTCCGCCATAGAGCCACGGAGGGCCGTTCTAGCCGCCGCCTTTGAACTTCCTGGGCTGGCCGGCGTTTCACCTATGAAGCTTTGCCCGTATGCGGGCATCGCTCCCGCCTGGCCGGGGCTGCTGCGCAGGGAGCCTTGGCCTTGTCTTGGGCACAAAGCCAGGCGGATCTCTTGGGCCCCTTCCCCAAATGGCCCCTAGAAGACTCTGCGGGCTCCTCGGCGTACTGGACGGGAGCCAAAGGCCGTTCTTACTTTGGACGCGGTTTAGCGCTACTGGAAGACGGCAATCCTGGGAGCGTTTGAAAACCTGGCTTTAGTCCCAACCCGGCGTTGTTTGCCACTGTTTCATGGCGCGTTTGGTGTCGTTTGCAGTTTAGTCTAGGCTACCTGTTGATTTAAAATGTTTCTAGTATTTCCTGGGATTTGGGACTTTGTTACTAAGACATTAAAAAGGCTGATATTGCATTAGCAGTTTAGCATGGCACCTTTGCCACCACCATCTATGGAGTGTAGGAAACCGCATTTTTCCTTTGAACCAAATCCATTCCCTTTGATGTGTAAAAACCAGCCTTTTCAACAGTCAGACGATAGGGCTGTATTCTGAAGGCCTTCAATGTTGCAAGTGTTAACAGAAGCAAACCCAGGTGGGAAAGGAGGACATGCAACCTATTTCAACATCTCTTTTCTCCCATCTTAATGCCTTTGGATTTGTTGCTTTCTGGTGGATCATGTACACTGAAAGGCTGCTGGGGGTTTGCAGTGGTCCGGGAAATCCTCTAAGTTTCTGCAGTTCAAAGAACCCCCAAATCCCACTCCTGGCGGGCCCTGACCACCCTGCCCCACCCCACCCAGGAGTCCCCATGTGTCCCGTTTTGGATGCAGGTAAGTGCAGAGCCCGCACAGAGGCTCAGGGAGGGCGAAAAATGGGCCTCCCGGAAGTTCAGGAAGGCCGGAAACAGCTTGTTTCCAACTTCCAGAGCGCCTCCAGAGCCCAGGGAGGGCAAAAAGCACCCACCCACCCCCCGCACAGGAGGCAGACTAGGCCACGCCCACCATGGCCATGCCCATCCAGCAATCGGGCAGAGAACCCACTGCTAAAATTTTTGAAGCCCACCCCTGAATGTATCATTTCTGCACCCTAGGTAAAGACTTGACACACACATCCCTTCCTTTAATAAAGTATTTTTCACTTCGCTTGAAATACTTGCAGTTTTTTGGGAGGCTGAAAAAGCCATTTTTCAGATATTGTTTCTCAAATTCAGGGAGTATGTTTTTTCCCCAGCTCCATGACACTCAAGTACCTGAGCTTCAAAAGCAACACTAGATATTTTTATAGTTTTGTATGCTACCCAGTACACTGGATTTGAGCAGCCAATAAATTTAAGATATTTTGTTACCAATCCCTTAACTGATTAATTCTTGAAGCAGTTTACCTGGTGCAAAGCACACTTTCTTTAAAGGACTCAGCATGTTGTATTGCCCTAGATAGGCTTAGAGACATGTTTCAAAACAAAATTAAGTAAGTTCCAGAGGAAACAATCTCAGTAATATTTTATTTTTAAAAACTGTTGTGTGCCTTCTCCAAAACAACTTCTGAATAACAAAATTGGTTTCCTCTACTCAATATGGTACAGACCTCCCAACCTTATGGGGGAAAGAGACTGAGATTCAACCAAAGGGAACACTGATACTATATTCCTCGCCGACTTTACCTTCTTGTGCTGGGGTACTGCTTGCGTCGGTCTCATCACATCAGGAGAGCTTCTTTAGCTTTTATGCTTCCCCAGGAGAGGATGTATGATAACAAACATCTATTTCCCACTTACATGCCTTTTTTTAAAAAAGGTCTAAATTCCCCCCAACATCACTAATGAAGGGCAGGAAGTGGCCAGTGGATGTCCAGTGACACATGTCCTCTTTTGCTGCTGGTCCAGGGAGCTCCTGGGTCCCTTTTGTTACACTAATCCTTGGCCAGGAATCCTCAAAGGCTGTGATCCGCTCCCACAGCATCTTGAACACTCTGGAATCCTTGTTCTCTGCTCAAGGCAAATAAAATTATGTGAACTCTTCTGTCTCTTGGGGATAAAAAGGAAAATATCAATTCTTGGTAAACTGTCTTTCCCTAAATGTTTTTCTTTGCTGCACAAGCTTCACTTCCTTAATTAGTTAATATCCCACACCTGCTTGGTCTGCTTTCTCAAGACCCTAATTCCTTTCAATGTATATTCCTCAGTGCGTACTTCTTACTCTAGTAGTCTCTTCCTCTCCAATGACTCAATTGTACAATCGTTAATTTTCCAGCACTCATTATCCCAATACTGAGTGAAGTTTCTAAAGGAGGGGTGGGGGATTTGCCTTTTTCAGAGTTTCCTAGGAGTTGAGCTCCAGAACATGAACCTTCCCTGCCATTAGGGCTCACCTGGCCTTAGGGGCAATTTTTAAATCAATTAATAAAAGATTTATTAAGTCCTGGTTTCTCCTTGTTTGGTATCCATCCTTTTTTCTAAATTAAGTGTTAGCATGCTGATAAACAGAAACAGGGAATGTCTACTAAGAGAAGCAGTTGTAGAAGGAATAGCCTGTTTTTCCCTCTCAGATATTATACAAGAATGCTGATGCAATAATGTGTGCTGCCTTAATCATGATAAAATCTTAATTTCGAAGTAACAAAAACAGCTTAAATCTAATTGTTTTGGAGCAAATGACAGAGTCTAATATTTTAGATCTAACCATGGGCCAAAAGATACATAGCTTTCCACTTACCTCAACAGGGCCTCAAGCTCCTGCTTTATGGTACCCACCACAGGAGGTCCGTGGTATGTGAGGGCTGTATACATCTGGACCAAGGAGGCCCCTGCCCGTATTTTCTCCAAGGCATCCTGGCCAGTGCAGACTCCACCCACTCCAATGATTGGTATTCGCCCTAAGAGAAGGAAGCATTTATAGAAAAGGAAACTGGTATCACTGCCTCTCATGCCTCTTTTCATCTCATTACCTTGGGTGAGAGAATACATGTCGCTGACCATCTGGGTGGAGAGCTGTCGTAAGGGAGCTCCACTTAGTCCCCCCACTTCATTGCAAGAAGCCCCACGAAGGCTCTCAGGACGGCTCACAGTAGTATTAGTTACCACCAATCCATCAATGCCCAGCTGGAAAAGGAGACCAAAAGAAGAATTAGATGGTTCCCAGTTCCAATCCTTGGGGGTGAAGATGCCACTGACCGGCAGCATGCAGACAGAACAGAGCAGAGGCTGCCTGAGTCAGAGGCTCGTGAAGGGAATGATGGCCTGCCCTAATGCTCAGTACCTCACTCACAATCCAGGCAATGTCCAGTTTCTCTTGGCTTGTCAAGTCTGGTGCAATCTTCACCAGCACAGCCGGTCTGTGCTTACCTGGGAGGGAATCCCGCTCAGCAAGAACCTGCCAGAAACAAGATGATACTTAAGCTCCAGGCCTCGGCCATCTCTTCAATGGGCAGAACAAGACCAGCACACAGAGAGCTCACAATAAGGTGAGATGCTCTTGGGAAGGAGAGGAGGAGGAGCTGTACTCAAAGAAGCTGCTTCTAATGCTAATGGGAGACCAGATGACAGCAAAAATGGCCACTCTGGGAAACAGGCATTCAGTAACAATGGGTGGCCTTATTCCCCAATTGGGGCCTGACATTCTTTCCGAGAGTACTCAATGAGTACAAGTGGACAGCACCTCAAAGTGTGTGCCAGTCTGCTGGGCACAGAACACGCCAACAGATTTGAAGGAAGAAATTTCAAGGCCAAGGCAGGACCCTACCTTGGTAAGTAGGAGGTGCAAGTCTGCTCTGCTCTGCAGAGCCCGCAATCCTGGTGTGTTTGGGCTGGAAACATTCACCACCACATAATCAGCTAGTGGACCCAACACGCGAACTCCTGCAACGTAGTCGGCAGCTGCATCCACAGAACACTTGTTCTTGCCCAGATTTATGCCAAGGGGCATTCCCGCTAAAACCAAAGAAAATACCATGGAACAGTAGCCCTGAAGGCAGAGGCGTGTCTCTGTTGTCCAGTAATTTATCACCTTTGGTTTTGGGTGGGGTTGTACTACGCCACACAGACCCCATGCATAAACCGGGGTCCTTTTGGATTTACAGTTCCTGCTGGAAGAGCAGGTGGCAACTATGGCCAGGAGGACCTTTGCTCAACTTTATGTTGTGTGCCAGTTACACCTTTTCCTAAATAGGGAAATAGGGAGGCTTTCCGGTCATTCATGCTCTATTGCAAAGTGCTCTACATGGGGCTACCCTTCAAAAACTGTATGGAAGTTTCAGCTGACGTAAAAGGTAGCTATGCCGTTAGTTGTAAACATTGGCAAGATTCCTTAACCCAGTGTGCCCTTGCCCAGATAGGATCTGAGTGGGAAAGATAGATTAGTGTTTATTTATGTATAAACAAGGAGACACCCCTTTGGACACAGTGAGAGACTCCTTAAAAAGGTAGGAAATCACTTTATACAGGTAATCCTCGACTTACAGCAGTTCATGTAATGACAATTTAAAGTTACAATGGCACGGAAAGAAGTGACTAATCACCATTTTTCATACTTATGACCATTTCAGCATCCCCACTGTCATGAGATCAAAATTCAGATGTTTGGCTACTGGCTCATATTTATGACAGTCCCAGTGTTCTGGGGTCATGCGATCAACTTTTGTGACCTTCTTATAAGCAAAGTCAATAGGGAAGCCGGATTCACTTAACAACTGTGTTAACTCGCTTACTAACTGCAGTGATTCACTAAACAACTGTGGCAAAAAGTGTTATGAGGCAAAATTCACTCAACTATTTCACTTAGCAACAGAAATTTGGGAGTCAATTGTGGTCATAAGTCAAGGGCTACCTGTGTAGAGTTCAAACATATGTTTGGAATGTATTCTTTTATTGGTTAGTATCATTTGACTTGTCTGTGATCTTGCGAGCATGCTCAATAGCTTTATATGTACCATATAACATTTTACAGCACCCCATAATATTCAGTATGATCTTGTTAATGGTCAATTTCATATTCAGGAGGTGTGTTTCCCACATTATAATCAATTCACAAGTTACTAGAGTTCAAATCTTTGCACACATCTTGCCTTTAGCAAATTCTGGTTTATATCAGAAATCACATTCTTGTTACTTCAAAGAACAGAAATATTAATCAAAAGCACTCCTACTGAATGCAAACATTACTCAAATAGCCCCTCTCCTGCTCCCATCAGTGAAATTCTGGATACCCCCAAAGCGTGCATGTAATAATTCTGCTCCACAAGCTGCACTGGGTGCCAGCTTTCTTCCAGGTCCAATTCAAGATGTTGGTTATAATTTATAAAGCCCTGCATGGCATGGGGTGAGGCTACTTATGTCCACTACCTCAGCCTGTCCCATCTGGTCAGCAGTGAAGTTATGGTGTAGACCTGTCAAAGAAATCCAACCGGTGGGGTCTAGGAGAACCTTCTTTGCTGTTGCCCCTGCCACGCTTGTGGAATATTCTCCTTCTGGAGATGAGACAGACCTCCACTCTCCAGGCCTTCCAAAAGTAAAAACATGTGCTCTTGCATGGAGACCTCAGAGCAGCACACACCTGTGCAGCTGGTTGGTACCCTGAGAGCTCTCCCTTCACCTTTTAAACTAATTTCCAGAAGATTGTAATTGCCCTTGCCTCCTTTTAGTTCCAAATTTCTAAACAAACCTGGGAGTAAGAAGAAATTTCCTGACAGTGAGAAAAATTAACCAGTGGAATGCCTTGCCTCCAGAAGTTGTGATTGTTTAATCACCGGAGGTTTTTAAGAAAAGATTGGATAGCCATTTGTCTGAAATGGTCTAGGAAGCAGCCCTCAACCTTTCCAGCCCTGTGAACCACTGGCAGCAAGGGGGGGCGGGGGGTTAATTGTCACACTTGCCACTTGTGCAAATGCAGCTTCAGCCAGTCACTTTGCTTGCCTAGTCTGGTTCCAATGGTGCGCAGCCGGCATTGGACTGCAACCCAGCAGTTGGGGGCCCCTGGTACAGGATCTTCTGCTTTAGCAAGAGGTTGGACCAGAAGGCCTCCAAGATCCCGTCAACTCTGTTATTTTCTAAGCTTTTAATTTTTAAATGCTGCTTCTCTATTTCAGCCTTTTCTAGTACATCAATCCCTCCCTGAGGGAGACGAGTAGTTAAATAATGTGAATAAGCAAACAGTCGGGGTGGGGAAACTTGGCCCTCCCTGGGTTGCCCCAAAGGCCCGAGCGCTGCCTCACCTTTGCTGAGCCGGTGCTGAGCGATTCGCCGGGCTCGGAGTCTGCGCTCCACCACGGCGTGGCCCTGGCTGTTGAACCCGTACCTGTGTGGGCACAAGAGCTTCAGGGGCCTTTCCTCCGCCGGACTAGCGGAAGCGCTGCCCACACCCACGCCCCCACGCCCGGAGCGCCCACCTGTTAATGATCGCTTGGTCTTCGGGCAGCCGGAAGACCCGCGGCTTGGCGTTGCCTTCCTGGGGCTCCGGCGTGACGCTCCCCACCTCCACGAAGCCGAAGCCCATCTTGAAGAGCCCGTCCACCGCCTCCCCGTGCTTGTCAAACCCAGCGGCCAGCCCCAGCGGGTTCCGAAACCGCCGCCCGAAAGCCCGGACCTCCTAAGGGGAATCCCGGGAGAAAAGCTCAGGCCCTGCCGCCCCTCGCCCTCCGCGGCCCCAGCCCCGCCTCCCTCCGTACCAAGATCTCCGAGTCGGCCGGGCCGGGCCGGGGCACGAAGCCCAAGGCGAGCAGGCGCACCGCCAGCCGGTGGGCGGTCTCGGGCCCCACCACGCGCTGCAGGCCCGGCATCAGCCACTGGCGGTAGAAGCGCTCATCGCCGCTCGCCACCAGGTGCGCGGCAAAGATCAGGCCGCCACCCCCGAGGACCACGGCGGCCTCCTTCAGGCGCTGCGGGGAGAGAAGCGGAGCGTCAGGCCCGTCCCGAGGCAGCCGCGCGGCTCCCCGCCCTTCCCGCCCGCGCCCCTCGGGAGCCGGCGCTGGGAACGGCCTCGCTCACCCGCCGCGCGGCGGCCATGGCAGGCGCTCGAGGGGCGTTTCCGGCGGGCCGCCGCTTTCTCCCACGCGCGCACGCGGGCTGACGAAGCGGGTGCGGAGCTCGGGGGGCCCGGAGCCGCCCTAGCGTGGTGACGTCAGACACGCCGCCAGGCTCCGGCCGCCGAGCACAAACGAGGCTGCAAAACTGGGGTTCCCCATGGAGAGGGAGGCTGCCTTCTCTTCCCGCATTCCAGGCGAAGGTTCAGCCTCATCCTCGGGGAAAGCGGCAACGCTTCCTTTCGGCAAGGAGAAAGTCAAGGCAGCCGGTGCAAGTCAGGAGCCCCCGAAGAAGCGGGAGCCTGACCCGCTTCTGCCCCGCCGCAGCGATGCTCTCCGGCACAGGCCACCCTCTGCTTTCCCGGAGACCCATTCCCTCCTCCTAGGGCACACGGGCTACCTAACCGTTTCCATCCCGGCTGGCACCTTTTACTCTACCTTCTTTCTTCAGTTTTGGGTCGGTGATCCCTTGTTCAGTTAACAGTGAAGCTCAACCTCAACCAAAGCGACTATTTCAATTATGGGTTCAAAACTTGCCCGCAAGTCCAATACATCAACAGCTACTGCTGTCCAAGTCTCTTGCCTTTTCTTTTCCTGAATACTATGAAAACTCTGCTAAAGATGGGCAGGCTCTTGCCCTGCAGCCATTCTGAGACACTCAGAAGGAGTTCAAGCTATGGAAAAGTCTAGCTTTGTCAAAATATATACCTCTGTAAGCGCCCAACCCTCTTTGAGTTAAAACATCACACCCATCTACAGATTTGAGAAAGCATCATTAATATAAATAGAATAACTAGAAAAACTAAAAAACGAGTACCAAATATATGACAGATATTCTATTATTTCTTTCATTTTTTAGCCTCTCAGAAAATATTTATGCAGAAAGTTCAAAAATGGAACAATCCTCTGCAGAGATGAGTGAGTGCCAACTCTTGTCACCTGAGCTTGCTTTGTACCAATCTGGGGAATACTTTTCCCTACCCAAACAGCAGTGGGCACCATTAGCTTCATCTGATTCCACAATAACGTGGAGCAAGCAACCCCTGAAGGGCATCTTGGCCATTTCAGCATCCACTTCGGTCTCTAATCTCTTGCAGTCGTTTTCTTTCCTTAACTTACATACAAGTTATGACAGAATACAACAGGGCAACGATAGGGATCAACCATTTTCCTGTTTGTTCCAGAGGCTGAAAGGGACCACTGGGACACAGCATGGTCTCCCCCTCTGACAGTTCTCCTGCATCAGATTATACTCTCCAAGACAGACTCAGTGAAGATCACACTTTTATTCAGAACAGAGAAGGAATCAACCATCAAAACTGTCCCAGAAAAGCCATGTGAACATATTACATACAGAGGCATTACATGAGAAAGCACAGGTTTCCTCTGGGCATCATAGCAGCAGATGTCGCTATGTGGTGCTGCCATCTATGGCTTTGTCCTACAAGTCAAACATGGACTAGCTGGGGGCTTGCAGACCTAAATGTCAAATGAGGGTCCCATAACCAGCTTGCCTGACCCTGCTGAGGGAGTCTTTCCCAGTCTGTCTAAAATTGCTTTGCTCATGGCATGGACCGAACTCTCCTGCAGGACCCTCAGGGTAGACTTGGCTTTGGCCTCCTTTCCCAGAGAAAAGCCATAACTGCATCCAGCAAGCAGAGCCCTTAAGGCAGCCCTTCCCACAGTCAATGCCCAGAAGGCAAGCCAGGTGCCCCTGTCCCATCAGGTGGTCTAGACCCACCCTACTGCAGTTGCTGTGCTGTCTTCTAGCCAAAGGAAATGCTACTTACATCACCTCAACACCCCCCTCCAGAAGAGATTATCTAGGGCTACTGAGGCACAGGGGACAGTTTCTTGCTTCCCACCGAAAGGGGCTCCAAAGGACCCTCTGAGAAAGCACAATTTAGTGTAAGTAGAGCAAGAAGAAAGGCCAAGAGGAAGGCAAGGAAATGAGGAAAGAGCACCCATTACAGCAACAGGGTGTGTAGCTCTTAGGTTTTCTTCTTCAACTCCTCAAACCTCCGGGATAGATCATCAAAGTCAATCTCATCGGATGCAGATGTGCTGGTGCCAGCAGAAGCAGCAGGCAGTGTATCTGGCACAGATGGCAACTCTGGCAACACAAAGCGATCCGCTGAACGAGGCATGGGGACTGGTGGCTGCCCCTTGGCTTCTGGCATTACCCGGGGACCTGCAACAGAGGGTAAATGAAGAGACACTACAAGCCCTGGGCAGGCCCAAGCAATGCAGAAAAGGAGCTGCTGCTCCAAGGATTAATAGGGAGTAGTGGGAACAATGCCCACACAACAGAAGACTCATTTCTACATGCCAGCAGCCTGCCTGGTGTAGCAAGCTGTATTTTCTCTTGCATCCAAGGTTTTAACAAGAGTGCTGGTGCTTTTGAGGCCTCCCAGGGCTGTGTTGCATGGTGTGAGCTTCTACAGCTCTGGAGGAGTCAAATTGCTGCCACTTTACCCCAAGCCAAGTGCAGCAGCTCAGTGTGTCTTACCAGAGTGACAAGAAAGGCATCGGCTGGTGCTTCCTGACCTCCTCTGGACTTACCAGTCACAATATGCAAGGATGGCACTTCCTTGTCAGTATTCCCATCATTTACCTGAAACAGGCACAAGTGTATTAGGCAGAAGGTCCTGGCATGCAGCACACTTAAATACCTTTGTTTATTTGTACAGGCTGAGAGGTTTCAGAAGCATATTTTTCTTCACCTCAAGAATCAGAACTCAAAGCTCTGCTGCTGGGCAGGACAGAAAATCAAACAGGAGAGAGGTGCAGGGAACACAGCCTCTCTCTAGGAAAATATGCCATTATTGGAAGAGAGCAAAGCTTGAAAGGCAGGTAAATGTAGCAAATTAAAGGGGATGTTCTGAAAAGCAACTGTGGCACCCAAAACAAGCAGAAAAGGTATCTTACAACTAATGTTTGACCAGACCCTTAACCCCAAATCTCAGCAGTAGAAAGGAAGAAAGAGAAACAGCAGAGGACAATAGGAATATATACAACCGTCTGGTGTGACCTGTTCCACGTAGATACTGGGAAGATGGCTATGCAAAGGAAGAGGGGGCGGAAAAGAGCAATATGCCCTCCCAACTCAGATTCTAAATTTAGTTTCTGCCAAACTGCAGCCAGTCTGAAAGTTTGGTAGAACTTGTGGAACATGACTTTTTTGGGGTCAGCTGTGAAATGTGTTTTTCATGCCGTTTTAGAGGACTACATTTTTCTTGGGTGACACTTACAGATTCATAGGTTGGAGGAATTGCTGGAATCGGAGGAGGGTGAAGGCCAGTGAATGGTTGGTAGGTGCCCACAGGTAGCCCATTGAAGCTCTCCTGCAGGAATCAGAACATTTGTTAGCCAAAGCAAACGTAACTCATTGAGAGATTAAGTAAGCAGCAAGAAAAGTTGCTGCCAACCCACATGCCGGCAACAAGATAAAAGCAGAATTACTCGCCTGCAGAGCCCTGCATGAATCAAGATGTACTTACCGTTCCCTTCGTATGTGGGTAGGAGAAAGGAGGAACTGGAGATGGCATCGGCAAGACTCCTTCAGGACCAGGGAGAGGGGCCATGAAGCCACCGCTGCCACCACCACCACCTTTCTTGATGTCATCCACAAATCCTACATCGATCAGATCTGCTTCTACACCTGCAGGAGCCACAGCCTGAGAAATGAGATGACTCAATCTCACAACCAGGAAAGTTACTGCTTGCGTACAGTCACTTTTTCAGCTTGGTGGCTATACAAATGGATTAAATGAAAAGGAACACAACTCTGTAACAGTGTTCGCTTCTTTGGGGGTTTTTTGGACGTTTGTGTATCTTTGCTACTGAATGTTAAAGAGTTTCATGTATCCCAGTAATCCATAAAATGAATTTTAAATGAAGCAACACAGGTGTTTTATTTGTTTCATTCATTACCTAAGATCATCCAACATACTATCTGCAAAACAGTAGTTGTCAATGTGACTTAGTAATTGGTTGCCTTTTCCTTAGCTGCAGTTAGTGGGACGAAGCACTTCCTTAACCAGTGACCAGTTTCTCATATCACTATGTAATAATTATTTAATTTATTCCTTTATGGTGAATTGCTTCAGCACAATAATTATTGAGCTTTTCTAGCACGAACTGCCAGTTTTAATCCTGCTACGATGTTTCTACGTGGCTTTGACTTGGCCACACCAAAATATTAAATGCATTCCTTTTCGTTTGTCATCTTGTGGACTTGCTTCTATGGATCACTCTTGCCACGACTTAGAAAAAAGGTTCTTAGAATTCTAATTTGAATCAGAACTGATGCTTTCCTTGACGATGTAAATGATCCCAGTAGCAAACCATTGCTAAATCATGACATCTAATAAGTGATTAAGATAATCTTAAGGCATAAGATTTTTGTGGAAAGTTTGGATTCCACCAGATGTTTTGCCTCATCTGTCCACACAGTTTTGCCAGAATCTGGAGGTTATTGACTGGCATGCAGACCCCCAAAAACGGTTTGGTTGTGGCTTTTATGTTGCATTCTAGGGAGGAACTACTCTTACAAAAAATGTCTTCTCCAGTTCAAGGCTGGATCAGCAATAAAGTGCTGGAGTCCTCATAAAGTACTTCAGATATTGTTTGAAACCTTTTCCAGACTGAGGTCATTTTAAATAATCTCTTTTCAGCAGGACATGAATGTATATAGTGAAAATTTCATTGGGGTGGGGCCAGCACAGGTTTTGTGATTTCTTTAGGACAAGACTGCTCCAAAGCAGTCACGATTTTACTTATACAACTGGCTATATAGCCAGTGAACATCAAAGAAACCAGAATCAAATCTTAACACTATTTGTTCACTGAGACTCCATTTGTGAATTACTAATACTCAAATGAAGCTCCAAAAATGAAATGCAGGAAAACTGAATTTTTCACTCTTTTTCACATAACTGTGGCAGCCAAGAACAGACCATCCACATCACAAGAATTAGGGAGCCTCCTGCACTTCTACTTACCATGACCACTGAATCTGGTTCATAGGGCACA